CAACACCCCTTCCCACCACCATCACCAAGGATCAGGTGAGCAGAGAGCTGAGGAGGCTCCGTCCAAGGAAAGCAGCAGGCCCGGACAGAGTGTGTCCAAGGATGCTTAAAGCCTGTTCTGCTGAACTGGGGGAGCCACTCCAGCATGTCTTCAACCTGAGCCTGCAGCTAGGGAGGGTCCCAGTGCTCTGGAAGACTTCATGTTCCCAAGAAAAAACACCCCAGGGAGCCAGGTGACTTCAGACCAGTAGCACTGACATCAAACATCATGAAGACCTTTGAATGGCTGCTGCTACATGTCCTCAGACCACACCATGAACAAGATCCACTGCACTTTGGATACTAGGAGAAGGTGGGCGTGGAGGATGCCATCCTCTATCTGCTCCACAGGGCCAACTCACATCTGGACAAGGTGAGCGGCGCTGTGAGAATGGCGTTTTTTGATTTCTCCAGTGCCTTCGACACCATCCGGCTACTCCTACTGAGAGACAAGCTGACAGAGATGAGGGTGGACCCACGCTTGGTGACATGGATTACGGACTACCTCACAGAGAGACCACAGTACGTCAGACTGAAGGGCCACATGTCAGGCACGGTGGTTTGCAGCACCAGAGCACCACAGGGGACTGTGCTCTCTCCCGTCCTCTTCACCTTGTACACATCTGACTTCCAGTATAACACCGGGCTCTGCCACATGCAGAAATACTCAGACGATACTGTGATAGTTGGCTGCATCAAGGATGGACAGGAGGAGGGTTACAGGAGCCTGGTAGAGGACTTTGTGAGGTGGTGCAGGACCAACCATCTGCAGCTGAACACCTCCTGTCCCAGCCCAGCTCCACCAACAGACTTAAAAACTCTTTCGTCCCCCTCATGTCAATAGAGCTCTTGTACAGGGAGGACAATAGACAAAAGAACAATTTCTACCTCCATCTACGCTCCATTTGCACTTTTACTGCGGCTACTGTGTTATAAGTTATTCGTCCGTGAAAGGAGGAGGACAGCACCATGACCCTGATGTAAGACAGTTTATCAACCGTGACTTCTATGTTGACGACGGACTTAAGTCACTTCCCAGTGCTACAGGTGCAATCAGTCTGCTGAAGAAGACCCAGGACAATCTTGCAAGCTCAAACCTGAGGCTGCACAAAATTGCCCCTAACAGCAAAGAAGTTATGGATGTTTTCTCAAGATCTTGCCAATGACCTGAAAGATTTGGCAGATACTCCTCCAGTACAGCGTAGCCTGGGCCTTAACTGGGATTTGGTGTCTGACAGTTTCATCTTTAAAGTTGATAATGAAGAGAAACCCTTCACCCGCCGTTGTGTCTTATCTGTTGTGAACAGCATCTATGACCCTCTGGGGTTTGTAGCTCCTGTTGTCAGTCAAGGAAAGCACATCCTACGAGAGCTTACCCAGGGGAAAGGTGATTGGGATTCACCATTGCCTGAGGAGATGAAAGTCCAGTGGACATCCTGATGAGATTCACTAAAAGATCTTGGTGACTTGCGGATCAAAAGACCCTACACCAAGGTGTCTCCTTCCACAGCAAGAAGGAGGGAACTTTCCATCTTTTCAGATGCATCCACAGGCTATAGCAGCAGTTGCTTACCTTACGGTGATTGATGAACATGGAAACTCCCACACAGGCTTTGTCATGGGTAAGGCAAAACTGGCTCCGAGGCCTGAACATACAGTTCCAAGACTGGAGCTCTGTGCCGCTGTGCTGGCAGTAGAGTTGGCAGATGTTGTTTCATCCGAGCTTGACATCCCAATTGACTCTATGACCTTTTATACAGATAGCAAGGTCGTCTTGGGATATATTTACAACAAAACGAGACGCTTCTATGTGTACATGAGCAATCGGATCATTCGCATCCACAGATCCTCTCAGCCACAACAATGGAAGTACATTCCAACTGACCAAAATCCTGCAGCCTGCGCAACCAGGTCCATCTCTGCTGCTTGTCTCTCTGATGCCACATGGCTCAGTGGGCCTTCCTTCCTGCATAAAGAATCTGAAGCAGTAAGATCAGATTAACTTGTTGACACAGAACATTATAGCATTGCAGGCATCTTCCAGCCAGTCCAACAACTTTAGAATGGTGACCTGTCCCCGCTGCCAAAGGCCTGGTCATTATGCTCGGGACTGTGCTAATGAGAGGGTCTCTCGCCCAGCTTTTTCTTCTCCCGGTCATCCTCCTCAGGTCCAAGCTTCTGTGGCCTCCCAGCCCAGTGAATTCCTAGCCCCCCACTTGTTAAGCCACCCTGGAGGGGACGTTGCTGACGCAAGATACCCCAGTAAGCGCTGCTGCTGTCTCCCAGTTGCTAGGCCCTTGCCGTAAAGTAGCTGTTAGCTTAGGGGGAATAGTGGTAAACTGTTAGATACAGGGTCTAATGTATCTACCCTCAAACCAATATCAGCAGGTCATTCAAGCAGCTATCTCTGTTCTTCCTTCCCGCACAACAACTGACCTAAAGGGCCTCCGGGAAAATGACCCTGCCCTAAGTGCCTTTCTTCCCTTTTGGCAGCACCAGAGAATGTCTAGCCGGGCTGAAAAGGAAACCCTGCCAATGTCAGCACGAAGGAAAATGCAGCAGTGGGACCGTATCCATGTTGTTGATGGTCTCCTTTACCGCAGGATTGTCAGGTCGGAGGGGGGAGAGGAGGTCCAGCACATAATCTTGCCTGAGTGCCTAAAGGAAGAAGTGCTACAACAGCTACATCAAAACCATGGACACCAGGGAATTGAGAGAACCACTGAACTGGTTAAGCAACGCTGCTACTGGCCTGGGATGGGAGAAGATATTAAGCAGTGTAGAAGGTGTGCAGTGGCAAAAAGCATTCAGCCACAGATCCGAGCCCCCAAGAGACATTTAATGGCTGCCAGACCCAACCAAATACTAGCTATTGACTTCTCATTTGTGGAGCCTTCCAGAGATGGTAGAGAGCAAGTTTTAGTGATGACTGATGTTTTCACAAAATTTACACTGGCCATATACCCACACAAGACCAGAAGGCGACCACGGTGGCGCAGGTGTTGGTGAAGGAATGGTTTTACCGGTTTGGGGTTCCTGCACGCATTCATTCAGACCAAGGCAGAAATTTTGAAAGTGCTCTGATTCGGCAGCTCTGTGGCCTGTATAGTATCCAGAAGACCCGCACTACTCCATAGGGTGGTGGATTTTGGGAACCCCTTTCCCCTTCACTGCATGTGGTGGTGTATGTGACAGCTGTGTGCGCATGTTTAACCTAGTTTTATTGTGTGGTGTTTGTGTGTATTTTGTCTTTAAGTGGCTGCGCACCAGTGGGAGTAGTGATGACAAGGCACCTGGGTGGCCCACAGGTAACCCCCCTTGCATGACTGGCTTTTGTAGGTGCTTTCATCACTTAGCATTTCTGGCAGCATTGGCATCTACATAACATAACATAAAATGTGCATGTGGAGATTATATTAGGTGGACAACATGAGCAGAAAATACATTATGTGGATTGTATGCTAATTAGATACACACTTAACATGTAAGTTAAAGCTGCATTATTAATATTATTTTAATATAAAAAATGGATTAAAAGACTATGTGTAATGTTAAAAGTGTTGCCTGTAGTGACAAATCCACAAAGAATTATCACCAACTCTGCAGTTTCCCAGCATAGCTCTGATAAACTCACTATACACTGCCTGCTTAGCACCAAACTGCAGACAGGCAAAGTTGGAGACTAGCAGGTGAACACAGTGGAGCATATAGCAGCTAAAGAACCAGATACTTTCCTCAGGAGTTGGTGGAAACCAAACCAGATCTAAAAACACTGTGAATATTGCACTTACATTCACCATGTGGATACAAACAAGCTTCTAATTGGATAATGCTGTGTCTGCTGGATGTGTAAATTTTTAGCTTGTTCCCCTGTCCACAGGTGGCCAAAAAATCACTTACTACAACTTTAAGGAAATAACAACCACAACCTAACTGTGTTAGAAAGTGTGAAGTTGGCAGCCGAAGCTATTTTATAAACAAAGCTGTGCACTTGCCCTCTGTAAAAAGTAAAATCATTCTGTTTTTCATCCACTTCTTATTCCAAAAGTCTGAAACTATATTTTGACTTTTTGTAGGAGGAAAAGCACAGGTGTAACAAACAACTTTAACAATGACTATTAAATTTAAGTAGCCCAGTAAGCAATGCCACTTAAGACGCATGCATATTATTAGAAGGCAACTCCCAAATGAAATGCTGATTCAATGCTCTCTGCATCAGAGCCAAACGTCAACAGCGACAGCAGTAACTGCCATAAAGCAAAAGGTGGGGAAAATCAAACCACCGACCTTGTGATAAGTGGACGACCGCTCTAACCCCTGAGCCACAAACGCCCCCGGGTCATATGGTATGGACTACTGCTATTTACTATCTGTGGGGTGACGTAGGGCTGCATGTAGCCTTCTCCAGACCTTTCTCCACCTAGAGTACGTTAAAACTGTTGGTGCTGCTGTCCAGTTCGCATGCATATTCAGGTGGTAGGCGGTGAGCACTAGTGCACCTGCAGAGAAGTCAACTGTAGTTCAAATTCCCCAAGCAAACTCTTGCTGTCATTGCCCTATCACAAGTATGACTCCTCTCTGAACTGTAATATAAAACAAAAAGGTGACCTGCTAATCATTAAGCACTTTAAACAATAGTCATCATCAAGATTTGGATACTTGAAGTCTGAAGAGTTAGTTAGTATCCAATAAAATAAGATGAACAGCTTGGGGGAATAGTAGAGTATGCATATTTAAGGGGACCGCAAGAATGGTTTACTGGTGGGGGGTGTTTGACCGATTGTAGGGTGTCGGTCTGGGGCCAAAAATGCCAGGGCCATTATTTTGTTCCAGTCCAGCCATGTTGGACAATGTCTTCCTACACTTCCATCAAAATATACCATGTATAAAAAAACGTTTTGTTCGTACTGTGCAGCCGTAGAGAGTGTGTGAGTGTGGTGAATGATGCTATCTGTGTCCTACCTGATTGCAGGTGCTGATGTCCACTCCCCCTTTCAGATATTCCAAAACCTTGTCGATGTTCCCTGCCCTCGCCGCTCGCAGGAAACTGGTGTTGCTGTCCGACTAGAAGAGTCACAGAGGAAATATATTTCAAAAAGAATCTACATAATGTAATCACATTTACATTTTGTCACTGGCTGTCGAGCAGGATGGTAATCACATCATTTTACCACTCTACTGTCCAGTTTGTATATTGCAGCCTTATCCTTTTGTATGTAACACAGTTATTTCTGACACATACACAAAACTACCTAATGTGTTCATTGTGTTGGGCTCATTAGTTTTAAAAAAATACTTAATTACACATACTTTTAATAGTGTTTGCACATCTGGTCACACGGGTGACACAACAGAACAGTCCTGCCAATGGTTTTACATTATTCCAGTGATCAACAGGTGGCAGTAACATGCAGCAATGCACCAGCAAAGGCAGTGAAGAAGAAGACTGTGGGACAGGAAACACTGAAACAATGCTAGACTTCAAACACTTCGAACTAATCGAATTTGCAAATGTTTTATGAGGAAGGAAATACATTCAACGCATTTGTTAGAGCTCAAGAACTCACACAATTTGGTTTGGTGAGTAGCATGGACGTGAACATAATCCCACAGGGCACCTTTAATTTGTTGTACTCTTAGATACTGTGAGCAATGATAATGAAGGTGAGTCTAAACTAAAGTAAGCAGGCTGTTTGTAGAAATAAACTTTAACAATATTATCTATGTATGCACATCCATGCAATCAACATGTTCCAGCTAGTTTTTTTTAAGCAAAAATTAGTTTCTTAAAGCAGTGGTTCTTTAAGTGGGGTTCGGGGACCCCCAGGAGTCCTTGAAGAGGTTCCAGGGGGTCCCCGGCACAAGGGGAAATAATTTATTTTAATTATAATTTCATCCGTAATAAAATGACAGAATGTATGACTACTTACACTTTCTGTAATACAATCACAATAAATGATTATCTGCAATAACTGTGGAGCCATAATTAGTAGAATTTGTTTTCCTTAGTGTGCAATAATGTGTGTCTGTAGTTTGGGAAGGACATGTCTGTTTTTGGATGCTGAGTGAGATGCAGTTGGAAACGGACCAGGACTGTAAGGAGGCAGAATGATTCAGCACTTTCCTCTTGGTGCCTTCACTAAAGCTAAAATCCTGGCTCACACACAACTTGTTCAAAGCTCCCAGCTCTCTCCTCCTTGTGGAAAAACACTGTGTGATGCTTATTTTTACTGCATTCAAACTGCGTTAGTCCTTCCACGGGGAGGTCAGAGACAGAAACACTGTAGCACCACTCATACTAATACACCACTGTCTTGCTCATGGATAATATAGTGGATGTTCTGTTTGTTTTCTAGCTGAATAATGGTCTCTCATTGGCTGTCAAGGTCAAATTCCACTGGCAAACTTCTTCAGAGTTGACCGTTATTAGAGTCAGAGTTTTGTGTGTCCTTTCCTTTTTCCACAGTCACTCGGTCCCCTACAGCACAACACTGCGCACAGTTTCACATTCAGAATGCAGTGATCAGAGGAAAGAATGCAGCACTGATTATGTATAAAATGAGCAGCGACACTGCAGCACTGATGTCTACTTCACACTCATACAAATAGCTGTGGTCTCATGTTTCTAGCTGACCTGCAGTCAGCTGTCTGGCTACTGCAGAGCACTGCACTGCATCACTCAGTCTCAGCTACTAGAGCTTTCTGCACACCCCCATGATCATCTCAAAGGACGATACTGATGTACCTCCATGTTTTAGTCGACTATCCACACACAACATTCAAGTACAGGCAGTTTACAATTCGTGCTACTACACTACAAATTCAACTTGCAGAGACTTGAAGCCTGTTGGAGATAGATGTTGATGTTGATTGTTCTTTACCATTAATTGACACAATAAATGGGGCTTTTAGGACCCCTAATGGTTGAGGCCCCGGGGCAGTACTTACTACTACCACTGTGCATGCCGTTACTTTTAGTTTTAATAGAGCTAGGCTAGCAGTTTCCAGTCTTTGTGCTAAGCTCCTTATCTGATTCTGGGTAAGACAGCAAACAAAAGGATTTCCCAAAATGTCAGAGTGTTCCTTTAATGAAGTGATGACACCGAATAGTCTGATCCCTGGAACTGAAAGAACAAGCTGCAACTCTAAAGGGCAGTAAACACCAGCAGTGTCTTGGCGCACATTACAAGTCGATGTGGGTCAACTACAATGACATGCCTGCATCAACTCTTCATAAAAGCAGCAATTTGATCACATTTAGTCCCATGTTTGGCACGTGCCAGGTACTACACCCTTGACTAAGTAGTCAAGACTCTGTCTGTATGACGGTCGTCAATTGATGAACATTAAACAATGGGACACATGTGCAATTGAACATCTGGTACCTGAATGGACTGTAAAGTGGGAATTCGGAGTGACCTTATAAGAACTCTTAGAAAAACAATCTCATTTACAATAAAACAGAAAATATGTCTACTAAGCCCTGGGTAGACTTGTTCATACAGACTCATACATGTTGGTACAGGGTTAGCATTGTTTTCTAGCAGCACTGGACAAAGCAGCCATTACCCACAAGCAAGCCTGCCTGATAATATCCTCACATTCCCTCCAGAGCTGCCGAGTCACATTATGCAAGACCATGCCCTAATCATCTTTCTGCAACTGCTGGGTTGCTATAGTGACACTCAGACCAACAGGACTCTCAGACAAGTGAGGCTTTTCAATGAAAAACACTTACCATTAGAGAGAAAGGGAGAATTGTGGTAGCCAGCTTCCTACAGAAACGGTTTCATAACTCCTGGTTATAAGGAGCTTAGTCAGTTTGTCACTCTCTTAGATGGGAAATATTTTGAATGTGCATAAAGGTTATTGCTTTCATTACTGTTCAAAATGTACATTTTATAATGGAGTTAGGTAGATATGTAAAATGAAAAATAAATAACCTTGGGTCCCAACCACACTGGCTGCATCATTTCTACTGTATCTGTAATATATAATCGTATCGTGCATGCTTTCTATAACTATCTGCTCCTGCTTCTCTTTCAGCTGTGTCTAGACACATTACTTCATGACTTAATCAAACCTGCCAAGCGTAACGAAGCTCCTAAAGCTCCTCCACCACCACATTACATCAAACATTCATTTATAAAGTCACTGTCTTCATCTGTGGAGTGCGAGGAGCTTTATCAATAATGCAAAACAATCCCCTACACTCCTACACACACATACACACTGTGCGAGACCCAGTGCCCAGGCCGGGAGCATCCTTGCCCCTCCCAGTTACCACGGAGACTAGCACTGCCCTCACTGGAGGTAACCATGACAACAAGGCTTTCTGTCTGTCAGCAAAGTAAGCACAGAAAACATGTAGAGCATTACTTCCTTTAGAACTGTCTGTCAAACACAGCGGCACACCATGGCATCAGGGTGTCATTCACATGTGAGAGATACTGGACATTTATGTGTGTGTGTGTATCCAGAACCATGTCAGATCCTTTTGAGACACACACACACACACATTCCCTTTCTCTGAACCTTTTTATTATCACAATTATTATGAGCGTGTCTTGTTTGTCAGAATGTACCAATTGCACTAGTTCAGTCAGGAGAACTTTATCAAAGAACTCTGCAGTAGTTATGTTTGGTTGTACAGCTCTGTTTAGGGACAGGGAGGATCTTGGGCTACGTGGAAAGCCATAAGGCAGAAAAGGCACACCTCCCTGCCTATCTGCAGAGAGAGCAGCAGCAAAGAGCGCCTCCCAGGGTACCGAACAGAGCAGCATCAATAACAGAAATTACATTGATTGGTCAGGAATGGCTTGAAAGGAGGAGCTGGGGTGGCGGCGGGTTAAAAATGGCTCGCGGAGGAAGCAGCAAGGGTAGGCAGGCTAAAGGATCTTAAATAAGGCGCCTTGTGTGGAATTTGCTAACGAATGCTGAAAGGGAAATCAGCTGAGCGGTCAGCTGAGGTGGCTGGCTCAAGATGGCTGCTGTCAGCTGACATGCTGGGATCGTGAGATGAGCGTGACTTTGTTGCCTGCCTGTACTAATGCTATATGCTCGATTTGTAATTTGCTAGCTAAGATTAGCTACACAAAAATGATGAGTGAGAGTAGCACCCACACTAACACTTCAAGTTTTTCACTTAACAGTTTAGCACTTACGTATAAATCCAGTAAGCACAGTTTTGGTTTTAAGATTTAATCAAATCAACATGGTCAGCCACTACCAGCACACAGGGGAAAAAGTTAATTGTTGGCTTTGACAAAATAATCTGAACTGAGTGTTCATGAAGGCTGTGTGGTGTGGTTAAAAGCCGTAGGGAAAGATAGTATTTACCTTGAATTAAGATTATTTTGTCAAACTACTGTTTCTAAGGTCAAGAATGAAGTGCCATGCTCATTTCCAATAGACCATGGCAGACAATCTGACTTTTTGAAGGTGAAGCACATGCAACTTCTAAAATGAATGATGACTCCGTTCCACTGACATGTCAGTGAGCCAACATGCAGCTGGGTCCTGGAAGTGGAACATCTAAACGGAAACAGCCCTCATCAATATTATTAATTACACATTACATTTCCTGCTATGGCCTCTCAAAATGTCCACTGTAAAAAAAGAGCTCCCGTTTAGAGCTCCCATAGACGATTTTGACGGAGAAGATAAACCCTGTGACAAATGGGGACTTATGCACACACTGTGTTGACAAGTCAGCACATTTTTAAAATATTAACAGTAGTAATAGTAACGTGAACTAGACGTTATATTTTGCATCAAACATGTTTAATGATTGGAAACAATAACTGCTCTCCTGTACGCAAAATGAAGTAGTTGAGCTGTTGGTGAAGTCTTGAATACAGGAACATAAAAAGAGTCAGGACTTGACTCATGTTAGCTTTTTGTTCTTAACTTCTGGCTAACTGAACAAAATGTTAATAGTTTATTAACACCAATAGTGTGTGTTAAAGTGCTAAAGATAATTACCTTAACTGTATTCATTTCTGTGGAGCTTTTTGGCATATTTGAACTCATTATTTTGGTTATATTTAATGCAGGCTAAGAAT